GGGTTGGGGCAGCCAGTGTGCAGCTGCCCTGCTCCAACTGTGCCTCCAGACCGGCCCTTTGGGCTGGTCTGCAGAGGCCCTATGTCAGTTAAGATGCTCTCCAAGAACTTTTCTCTACACCTGGTAGCCTTTGCTGCAGGCTCAATGCTATGGAATTCTGGGAAGTGTAATTTGTTGTGGCACCAGACTCTTCATAGGTAGATAGGTTCGCCTCAGGTTCCCCACAAGTCAGAAAAAGAGTGCACAAGAAAGATGCTAGGATTGATCACACAGTGTTTGAGTGACCTCTTCTGGCCACATTTATGACAGTTTGGAAGAATGTTGAAGTTACCTTTGGATTAAACTACTATGGGTTTTAAAAGGATGTTGGTACCATTGCTATGAAAATGAAGAGCCAGTGGGGGGCTGAAGACAGTGGCCAAAAATGGGTAGAATTATCTGGTGTCCAAGTCATGGTTTGAGGGTTGGACTACAATTCTGGAGACCAGGGTTTGATTCCCAGCTCAACCATGAAACCCACTGGGTGACCTTTCAGCCTCAGGAAAAGACAAAGCAAATCTCCTCTGAACTAACCTTGCCAAGAAAACCCCATGATAGATTCACTTTAGGGTTGCCATAAGTCAGAAACAACTTGAAGGCACATAGCACACACAACCAAAAGATATGACATTCTAATCACTGCATCACACAGCACATCTACCATGCCAACTGATGCTACAGAAATGCTTCTGTCTCATACATGTTTCGGTAGGAATAATGTCAACTGAATTAACAGAAACTTCTGAATGGACCTGCAGAGGGGACTGCACTATAAATTTGTTAGCCCACAGACCCTGGAACTGGTAAACGGGACCAAGAGCCCAAGTAACTGAGGACCTCGGCAGACGGCTTAAAAAGCCGTCCTGGAGGCAGGGAAGACGAGGGGCAGCCGCACACTCGGCGCCCCTTCCTCCTCCCGAGGTTGCCCTCGGAGCCGCCGGCCCTCCGCACGGCCGGTGCTCCGAGGACAACCTCCCGCCGCAGCGTCCAAACATGCTGCGGCAGAAAAGTCAGTGAAAGTGCGTCGCAAACTTTTGCGGCGCACTTTCACCGACTTGTGAAAGGAGCGCTATTTTAGCGCTCCTTTCAGGGACGGGGAAGGTGCGCTGCAGGATCGAGGTGTGGGGATGCCTCGGTCCCGCGGCGCACCTTCCCAGGGCAGCCCCGTGCCGCCAGTCTGCTTCCCCCCTGAGCTTCCTTAGTTATTATCAATCAGAAGTCTGCTAAATTATCAAGCACTAAGATATATTGACATACAATATCATCCAAAATCTACAAAACAGCAATATTTTTATAGGGGCCAAACAAAATGTCCAATGTACATGTCATTTTGATTGCCTCAATAAAGGTATCACAGTTTTGTGGCTTTTGGGTGATGCTGTACTTTGCTATATGGCCAACACAGCTATCCCTGGATATGTTTTTAAGAAATATTGAGACAACTATTGTAGTTGAACCCTCCCAGGAATAAGAAAGGCTGCCTGCATTCTCTCCTGTGCACACTCACCTGGGCATAAACTACACAAAGGAGCATGAAGGGCTAAGAACATACTCTGCTTGTCAAAGATGTTTGAAAAAGTTATTTTCAAGTGCAAGTACTTGCAAGTAGACAAATTTAATAATAACCTGCCTGCCAATGTCAGGGCCCCTCAGAGTTCTGAGGTCTCAGCTGTTAAGGTGCCACAATGTTATAAATCAAGATATATTTTTTCCTAATATAGGTCCCTTGTGGGCTGAGGTTCAGGGTGCATCCCATGGGTACACATTATAGAGTCTTGTACATGACTGGACCTACTATTAGGAAGTGAGGCGGCTGCTTCAAGCAGCATATTCGGGCTGTCACAAAAGATCAGCAAATAGCCAGTTGTTATTATTGTAACTTTGCTCCCCAGTGATGGGCTTAGAAAGTTTTGTGCTTCTTGTGGCATTGCTTTCTTTTCACATTGACTTGAAGGATTTTTAACATTACTTTTTTGGAGTACATCTTCTGGAACCCTCCAGCCAGCATGACCAGGGCTGGATTAACCATTAAGCAAAATAAGCATGTGCTTTAGGGCATCAAGGGAAGATGAGTGCCACAGAAATTTTCCATTGCCAGATTTACCAAAACTGCAAATGGTGCAGCTGAACCAGATTGCACAAAATGAGGCTCCCACAATAAATGAAAAAACAAAACAAAAAACAAACCTCTCTCTATATAATTTTTAAAAAATAATAAAATAGTAACAATAGAGGTTCATGATATACATTAATCTTGGGAATACAACAAAATTAGAATCTGGTAACTGGTAAACTGCCACACAATCCACTGAGGCTCATGTGATCATTGTCTTGGTCATGTTGGCTGTCCTGTCCTGCTGTGGTGCTCAGTACAGTGTTGCTAGATGGGGTTTTCTCTTTCTATTTTGAGTATTTGTACAGTTTATTATCATTTATATTTTGAATTGCCAGTAGATATATGGGGGGCCAGTATGGTGTAATAGTTTGAGCTCTAGGACTCTGAAGACCAAAGTCTGAATTACATTCAGCCATGTAAAACCACTGGGTGACCTTGGACAAGTCACACTCTCTTGCCCTCAGAGGATGGCAATGCCAAACCCCCTTTGAAGAAGCTTGCCAAGAAAACCCCATGATAGGTTTGCTTTAGGGTTGCCATAAGTTTTTAACAACTCCCATCTCGGCCATGTAAATACACTGGGTGACCTTAGGGCAAGTCACATTCTCTCAGCCTCTGAGGAAGGCAATGGCAAACCTCCTCTGAAGAAACATGGAAATAAAACCTTAGGGTCACCTATAATTTGGAAATATCTTGAAGGCACACAACAAGGGCTTCTAAAGCTCTTAATCCAGCCCTCAGTATGACCAGTGGTAGTGGTAGTTCATACAATCATACTGTTGGAAGAGACCCTAATGGTCATTCAATCCAGCCCCATACAGGAATGCAGGAATACATAATCAAAGCCCCCATGACAGATGGCCATCCAGCCCCTGTTTAAAAACCTCCAGAGAAGAGACTACATCACCCTCCGAGGGAGTGCGTTCCACTGTAAAAATCTCTTACTATCAGGAAGTTCTTTCTAATGTTGAGGTAGAACCTCTTTTCATATAGTTTGAATCCATTGCTCCAGTTCTATTCTCTGGAAGTGCAGAAAACAAGCTTGTTCCAACCTCAATATGACACCCTTCAAATATTTAAACAGGGCTATCGTATCACCTCTTAAGTGTCTCTTCTCTGGGTTAAACATACCCAGTTCCCTAAGTCTCTCCTCATCAGGCATGGTTTCCATTTTGGTCACCCTCCACTGGACTCCAGCTTCTCAACATCCTCAGCTTCAGCAAGACCTTTGACAAGGTCCCCCATGATATTCTTGCAAACAAGATAGTAAAATTTGAGCTAGACAATACAACTGTTAGGTGGATTAGTAATTGGTTGACTGACCAAACCCAAAGAGTGCTCAGCAATGGCTCCTCTTCATCCTGGAGAGAAGTGACCAGTGGGGTGCCACAGGGTTCTCTCCTGGGCCCAGTGCTATTCAACATCTTTATCAATGATTTGGATGAAGGAATAGGGGGCATGCTTCTCAAATTTGCAGATGGCACCAAATTAGGAGGAACAGCTAATACCCCAGAAAATAGGATGTTCTCTCTAGGAATCTCTAGGTCCTCCAGTTCAACTCTGTGGTCAACATCTGCCAGGCATTGACCATAGAATTGCGCTGGAGGAGCTACAAATGCCTATGCAGTGCTCTTAAGAATCTCTAGGTCCTCCAGTGCGACTGTTCGTTAAAGTTGACCATAGAGTTGCACTGGAGGACCTAGAGATTCCTAGAAAGAACATACTACTGTACTACAATCCGTGAATAATAAAATCCACAAAAGTCAAAGCCCCAAGTGTGGAAGGATAAGTGCAACTTAGTCCAAAAAGGATGACTACGGATTCTGTATGGTGTGGAATGAGAGGAGGTCAATGGAGGGGTGTGTGCGACACCATGAGATACCGCACCAGACGATGCCAGCCCTAGTGAGGCCTACATACGATACCAAACTCTGCCTTCTCTCCCTCAGACCGCGGCCCTCAACTTAGGAATTGTCCCGCCGCCATTTTGTCAGGCCTAGGAGGGGCGGGAAGCGGAGGCGAAGGCCGTTTGCGCGAGAGAGGCCTCGAAAGAGGCTGGCCCAAGGAACCTCCGCCTGCCGCCCCCTCGAGGCCTGACAAAATGGCGGCGGGCGAGAGCGACGGGGAGGAGGAGGAAGACCTGGTCAGCTTCGGGACCCCTCTGGAGCCCTTGGAGGAGGGTGAGGAGGCCGCGCGGGAGGGACGGAGGGCCAGGGGAGGCCTCGACCGGAGAAAGGGGCCGACTCGAGCCTCCTTTTGGGAGCCTCGCTTCGTTTACTCGGAATGCGGGTAGCTCTGTTGTTGCTGTTGTGTGCCTTCAAGTCGCTTCCTACTTAGGGCCGACCCTATGGGTTTCCATGGCTGAGCCAGAAGTTGAACCCTGGCCACCAGAGCCATAGTCCAACGCTCAAACCACTACACCCCACAGCCTCCAGTG